TTCTGCCGCGCTCTGAGAGACGTTCCATTGCTACAAAATCAGACTTGGTCCTGATGGAAGTGCTTGATGAGTTTGTTCCAATCAACTTGCCAGCAATCATGATAGATCACATGCAAAAAGTGGCAAATTTTTAGGGTGGCAATCATGGATTACCTTATGGCTTTCTCCTCACTCAAGTGTTCAGATTCTATAAGGTTCCCTTGGGAAACCCTAGAGTAGGCACACGCAGGCAAACCTTCTCAAAGACCACTTTAGAAGAATGTGAGTGCATATACAAGGTTGGTGGAAGCATTTCGACCATCTCTCAGCTGATAAACGTCCAAAATGTAGCATCTGAGGAGATACAAAGACTGAGGGCTCGAAATGACATTACAGAAACTCAGCTTAGCCAAGCAGGTCAGGGACCTGATTCTTTACATAAGGAGGTTGCTCAACTGAGAAAGGAAAATGAGAGACTCCGGGATCAACTACTTGAAGAACAACTGGGTGCAAACGCCAGACTGGACTTGGTTCTCAAAACAATTGTTGTCTCTCCATCGAACCCTCCGTCCCTTAGTTCTCCCCAGGATCCTCCCCTAGTGTCTAACTATTTTTGTTCCAACCTTCTGTGGGTGCTGTATTACTGGTGTTTATTTGTTTTTTTTTTTTTGTTTTTGTTGTGATGGCATGTGGAAATTACCCATTACTGCTCCTGACTTGGTCAGTCCAATGTAAACATTAATGAAACAACTCCCCTTTGCTTACATGTACAACGATGTGTTCCTTTGGCTTCTCTTTTCTGTTATGTTGTGTGCACATATGTGGCATGAGCTAGCTTTGTTAGACTTCTTTATGCTTATTACCTGCTGGTGCTTCTCTTTTCTCTATCTTTTTAAAGATTCCAAAACGGGGAAGAACGCTTACATTAAGGGGTAACTTTGACCTTATACGTGGGAACTCATGTAAACTTTAGTGTGATGAAGTTGTGAGAATGATGGATATGTAAACTTCAGTGTGATGAAGTTGTGAGAATGATGGATATCTTAGATTAAGGGGGAACTTCACCACTACTGGGTTATTTTTGCTCTAAACAAATGTTGTCCATAACTAAGTTTGTCATCATCAAAAAGGGGGAAATTGATGGGTTTTACTTAACCTTATGCTTCTTGGGTTTTGATGATTTAACAAACTTGTTGTAAAGAACCAGATTGAGAACCTGCTCTGCTTCATACACATCCCATATGAACTGATCGAAGCTTGAACATCAGCAATTGGATGGGCGACCACATGGAGGAACACAATCGGGGCCCGATGACCTTGTCCATTAGGGTTCTCCGACAAAAGGACAAGTCAGTGATTGTACGCATTCAAGATAAAGAGAAACATAACAGGGATCTGCTCCCTTGGGGTTCTCTGACAAAAGGTACAACTCAAAGTGCACAGCTGGAATGTAGTAGAAGAAAGCATCAAGCAATTGTTACAGAAGAGGAACATAACTAGGACCTGGTTCGTTGGTATGTCCTGACAGAAGTATTAGACCTGGTTCATTGGTATGTCCCGACAGAAGCACAACGTCCAGCTGGAACGCACCTGTCCAGAAGTGGCTGTGCAGACAGTGCAGCAGTCACTTCCCACTGACAAGAAGTACACCAAGAGTTGACACCACTATCTATTGTGATATCCTTTGTGATAAAACAACCTGGTGCATGACACACCAACTTGTGCATTTCAGTGATACTCTCTCAAGAAGAAGAAACATCCATCCAGTATTGAAATCACCGGTGTGTCAAGAATAAGAAGACAACTCCACTAAGGATCAGTTTCTAAACGAAGTCTTATGTATATCCATAGTTGAGTTGTAATCTTGTTATTTGCTTTACATTGTAATTCCTACTTCGCTTTCTTAGAAGCACGGTTTTAGGAACAAACCAAATCCGTAAACTTTTGAGTTTGTGTTGTGACTAGGAGTGGTCATAAGTTGAATCTTCTGTAACTAGGAGAGTTAGAGAGTGGCTTGTGGTGGTGCATCACATGTTAGTTTGAAGTCTTTGCAAAAGGGAGTTTGCAAAGTGGCTTGTAATAGGTAGATTACAAGTTAGTTGAGTTTAAAGCCTACTGGTGTAGGTCGTGGTTTTTTTATCCCCGTGTATGGGATTTTTCCACGTAGAAAAACCTCTGGCCTCCTTTACATTCAGTCTTTACTGCTTTCACGTATCAATCTCATAGAGGACCAGATACTCTATTGTTTGGTGGACCCATATAAGCTAACAAGTAGAACCATCAAAATAAGGGCTTGGGGGAAGATAAGAATTATAAGCACAACCAAGAAAGTGACCATCTTGACCACCACACATATCACACATATTTCACACATAAGATTGAGTTGGTGCACATAACTCGCTCTTGGGAATATTTTGATAGTTTTTCCATGGGTGGTTTCCTCCACAATAAGCATTAGGAAGATCAATAGTAGAATTACCAACATCAAAACTCTCATAATTCCAAGATGCCATGTTTCTCAAATCAACAAATAAAACGAAAATTAAAAAAATCAAATAAATAAAAAAAATTTAAATAAAAGTTCAAACTTGCAACCTGGCAATATGTACACCTACAGCTATACCGTTAGTTCCCCGGCAACGGCGCCAAAATTTGATCACGTCCAACTATGCCTTATAAAAAGGATAAAGCGATAGCTGCAAATATATTCCGGTTAACAAGTCCGGAGTCAAATCCCAGAGAGAACTAAGGCTTAGCTACAACTGTTCAATATTGCTAAGAAGACAAGCTCGAACAATTCCTATGTAATAAATATTAAGATTCTTGTTTCTAATTAACTAACAAATTAAATTAGTAGATTAACAACTACAGATACTAAGGGTTAGAGACAAGATTAAGAAGGTCTAGAGTTATGATTTTCCCAATTGTCGGAATCCTTCCCGCTACGTTTTTTTTATAAATTTGCTAAGTCTTCTCTACCGATCATGAGCACTCTGACTGTCGTAACTCTCTCCCGAGTAATTACCACAATTTACTAGACATATTCTCCCGAATTACGCTAGCTGGCATTAAGTACGACTCACTCGGATCGCACCAAGGTTTCGTTATCCCTAATCCCACCTTTAAACCCTCCGTATTGATCCCTCATACACGTTAGGAGTGATGTTGTTCAACAACTACCTAAATATGCACTCTCTCCCGAATAATACACACTAAATAGGCACAGACGATTGAGAGCTCTTCAACCAACCACAATAATAACGTAGTTGAACAAATAGAGAAAATACTACAGCAAATCTATATTAACGTAACAGGAAAATCATCCTCCAAAAGGTTCCATCAAAACCCTACATAACATATTAGCTATTCATAATAGTATGCAAAACTATAATACTAGAATTCATAACCAATAATGGAAAATAGGAAGAAGGAAGTGAAAAACTCGTAGAAGAATTCTCCGCCTTGCTCCTAGTGTGTTCTTGCCTCCTTAGGTCGAATCTCCGGTCTCCATGACGGCTCTGTGCTCTTTCTAGGTCTAAAATTCGTCCAAAAACTCGATCTCCCTTTCAAAATTGGTGTTTATTGACTATTTATATGTGTAGAGAAAAAGCCTAGACGAAATAACCAAGTCCAAAATCAAATAGGAGACAAAATAAGCTTAAAACCCGAAACACGCGACAGACCGTGCGTTAGGCATGCGGCGCCTGCTCAAACGCGAGCAGACAATCTCGCGTCGCCTGCTTTGTTTCTGCTCCCATTGCTTGATTCACTTTTTGTTGCCTAACTTTTGCGTTCATTAATTTCTGTTCTTTTCCTTTCTTTTTTCCAATTTCCATTTGTCTTCCTTTTGCTTCTTTTAGTTTTTGATTGTTTTCTTTTGTCTTCAAATGCATGGACATAATCATTAGTCATTCTTGTAGTGCATATAATATACAAAAAATCTTTACTTTGCTCCTAGTTTCATCTTCAAGGTACCTACACATAAAATAAACTTAATTAAGCACGAATATAATATAGTTTAGCATTAAAGCTCCGAAATGTAAGGTAAATAATGTACTAAAATATGGAATTATAGCCGAACATCAACAAGTTTAAAATATTCCAAGAAAGTTGAAAATAAATTTTATCCCTAGTAAATAAATAAATACTTAGCATATTTTTTTTTATATAAATAAATATTCAGTTCAATAGACAAATCTAATAATTTTTTAAAATCATTTTCATATAAAAACATTCCTCAACATATGTTTCTTTCAAAAAGATAAAGTTGGACTGATTATTAGGATATTTTTGTAAACAAACAATTCTTTTAGAAATTGTGCAATATTATAATACATCAAACCAAATAATGGATAAGAAATATGTCAGCATAACTAATACCAGCATTACTAATACACTCTATTCAACATTATTCTTATGCATCCTACCAAACGTCCCCTTAAAGTAATTGGTTGAGTGGCCCAAGATACTATAAACCCCTTTGGAAATCCTTACATGAGAGATAAATTTACTCCCGTTGTTTCAAATTAGATGAGGTAGTTTGACTCGGCACAGAGTTTAAGAAAATAAATAAGACTTTTGAAACTTATGGTCTTAAAAGCTTAAGGGGTAAAAGCTTGTGGAGCTATGGTATTTGTGTGGTTATAAACCCTTCTCATTAAGGGTTAGTAAAATGAAGAATTTAAAGTTGCATCATTTCCAATTGTAGAAATGTATCATTCTTTTTGGAACGGATTAATAAGGAAAACGTGTCATCTAAATTGAAACATAGGGTGATTTTTTTTTTTCCTAACATGTTTTTTTCTTTACCCCTTCATCCGATCCATATTCCATACTTCCTAAATTCCATATTATTATTTTTTCACTTCCAGCCAAGCCGACATCTTGAGAGGTGAGGAGAGAAAGTTTAATTTCCATGAAAACAGTCAAACGGCTAAAAATGCTACAATTTAAAACGGCCATATTACGAGTTTAAATATCTCGTAATCCATCTATGTAAAAGCAAAAAGAACAACAATATTAAAACACCGAAACAAGGATGGTTTTCCAACTTGTAATAGTTTAAGTTGACAGAAAATCCCCTGTAGTAAAACCAATGTAAACGATATCCAAATATTTTCCATCGTCTTTTTTAACTACCAACAGCAGGCACAGTAGCCATCTGAATCTGGGCGTTGTTATTCTCCTCTTTTGCCTTGAGCTCTCGCAATGTTGACCTCCACTTGAAGAAAGTTCCAAACAATTCCTCAGTTTCCTCTAATGTTTTCGCCTGCGTTTCTGGCATTAACGTAAAGAAAAACACCCAAGCCAATCCTGCAAGTCCTGCATACAAAAAGAACGCCCCTCCGATCGTTATCGCCTTTTCCAACGACAAGAATGTCATTGATACCACCCCACTTGTAATCCTGTTCAGTGCCACCGCTAAACCGCACCCTGTTGCCCTGAGTCTTAATGGAAAAATCTCAGAACTATACACCCATGTGATTGGACCAGCCCCAATCGAGAAAAGTGCAACATAAACCAATACCATTGTGATACAAAGTGCTATGGCCCAAAACACCGTGCCATCTGAGTGGTCAATTACTGTAAGTCCAATAGAGAGGAATATTAATGACATGACCATTCCACCAACACTTGTTAGAAGCAACGGCCTACGTCCAACTCTGTCTAGTAAAAATGTGGCTACTAAAATAAATATTGTCTTTATAATTCCCACAGCTACTGTGGCAAGTAACCTATCCGTGTCTGATTTAATACCCGCCTTCTCAAAAATTGTTGGACTATACAAAACAACAGAGTCAATTCCACTTGCTTGTTGAAAAAAATGGATACCAAGGCCAGTAAGTAGTATGTGTTTAATAGCTGGTGTAGGAGAAACGAATAGTTCTCTCCATACACTGTCACCTTTGGAACGTTTTGGGACTTCCACAACGTCGTCGTTGCAGCATTCGGGTATGCCAGCGGCTTCTTTGATTTCAGAAAGTCTCAAATCTGCTTCTTCGGGTGATTCGGAGGTTTTCTTAAGAACAGTTCTTGCCTCCGAAAGTCGACCTTGCATGACGAGCCAACGTGGTGACTCGGGCATGGCTAGAACACTTACAGCCAAGAATACAGAAGGAACTGCTCCGATTCCTAACATGAATCGCCAGCTCAAGTGTGCTGGGAGCTTGGAGAAGGCGAAGTTGGACACATATCCCAGCAATATACCTGTTGTCAACAAAATTAAGCAACAAGAGTTAACCACTCGATCCGTGAATAATAGGATTAGTGATTATAGAAACGGAACGAGAAATGCAGAACAATAATGTTCACATATATGAATTCTATAAAAGCTCATCATCTTAGAGGATTATAAAAACATCAAATGCCAGAAAGGTTAAACGGTCGCTAATTAAGTTATTATTATTATTATTATTATTATTATTATTATAAGATCAACATTAAAATTATCCATCGACGGTACGAAGAATTTTATACAACTAGGAAAAGAGGGTAGATTACAATAATAATTTGTTTAACTTAAAAAGGAAGATATACAATTTGCAGTAACGGTCATACATAGGATAAAAAAACTTTACGGGAACGAATTAGGATTGGAGTCTCAAGTTGTAGAGTTACTTTTACTAAGTACTCCATTGAAGTAAGTTGGTTTATTTGATGACACACTCACTTTTAATTTAATCATTAGGCTAAATTGATTTAGAATAATAAGCAATATAACTTTTTAGGATAAGTCTAATAAAGTAACTTAAACAATAGAGAAGTTAAATTCAAGAAATATTTATTAGAAAAATATTACACTACTAATGATGATTCATGAATCATGTTAATGTGTTGTCAATATAACGCCTAAGTCAACGTAGAACTCAAAATCCAAATTAAAAGAGAGCGCCTTTGTTAGGCGCTTTACCCCAATGTGGAACTTACTAGCGCGAATTCGGATTAGTCGGGCCCCAATGTGGGTATCGGATACTGGGTGAGAAATCAAAAAAAACAAACTACCACACACGTACCTGCATTAATAAACACTTCAGGAAATGAAGTGAGGAAACCCCGAGAAGACGCCGGTGACACCTCAGCCGTGTAAACCGGAGCAATCATGAGCGCGTAACCGACACCGATGCCAGCGACGAATCGGCCAAACATGAGGAAGGCATAGTTAGTAGCGAAACCCATTAAGAGTGCTCCTACAAAGAAGATTACTGCCGCCACCACCATAGTGTTCCGGCGGCCTATCCAATCGGAAGTTCGGCCAGCGGCGGCGGATCCAATAAGGGAATAGAGATTGAGGATTCCTGCTAGAATCTCCACTTGTACATCGTTGATGTTGAGGTCTTTTCTGATGTAGATGATGGCTCCACTCATCACTCCTATATCTGCATGGTCGATCAAACCATATATCCGCAATTTAAATGGCCGTGAAATCACATTTTATGAAAGGAATTTCATTGTAAGCAACATGTTACAAGAGTAAAAACTAGGCTAATAATGTATATAATTTAATTCCTTTACGAAATTTGAAGAACAATATAAATTTTTTACCCTTATAATTGTGATATTACTTCACCTTGTCAAGTTATTTAAATTACTTCAATAGTGAACGTGAGTTGATAACATGAAAAATAGATAAATAATTATTACAATCAATTAAATATTATTAATAGAGTAAAAGAAATTTTTTTGTATGTCAGCCTATATACAGATTAATTTCTTCAAAGAGAGGACTCTGCATAGACATGATAAAGAAGAGATATGTCAATAGAGCAACGCCTAGGTACCTCCTCACTGTTTGGATTTGTTCTTAGTAAAGTGGTGTAAGAAACGTTTTCACGAAAAATCGTGCTTGAAAAAAAGTTTAAAAGGCTTTTTAAAACTCTAGATTAATGGACAAAGAAAAAGAACTACTCCCTTTGTTTTAATTCAAATGACACTTTCCTTATTAATCTGTTCAAAAAATAGAATGACACATTTTTATATTTGAAAACAGTTTAACTTTAAACTTTCTATTTTACCTACTTTACCCTTAATAAGAAGTTTTTATATATAGCAACATAAATGTCATGGCCCCAAAATCTTTTGCCACCTAAATTTTTAGGACCACATATTTCAAAAGTATTTTTTTGCTTAAACTTTATGACAAGTCAAATTATATCATCTAAATTGAAACGGAGAAAATAAATCTCTTAGTTTCTCAAATTCTAAAAGTCACCCCAAACTCCGACAAATCGATCAAGTTACACAAGGGGTACGTCAGTGAAAACCTTATAATGTATATATAATTCCTGAGATGGTGTAAAGAGAAACATGTTGAATGAATGTTATTCGAGAAAGCATTATTAAAGAGTGACCCTTTTTCCGCGCTTTTTTTAAAAAAAAAAAATTAAAAACACAGGCGGTTTTCTCTAGTGAAAAAATACTATGTTGCTCGTACTCTCCGAAAATATTGATGGGTGCGTATCAGATCCTCCAAAAATAGTGTATTTTTGGAAAATCCAATGGGTGCTGCAGCTGTTTTGGAGAGTCCGCGCAACATAAAAAAAAATTATACAGGCTACAAATGAACTACATAAAACAAGTTTACAGGAAGAATAATTGAAAACATCAGAAACTTTTAGAGAGATGAGAAGGCCAAGAGAAAAGAATTCTTACCATAACCAAGCAAGATGGATGCTAAGGAAGCTAGAAAAGAACAAGCAGTGGCATACTTGTTCCTTTTTGGTTTCTTGGGAGGATCAAAAGCTATCTGGAGTTGCCCACAAACAGCATTTCTCTCTTGTTTTTTGTCAGCCATGATCTGAATTATAAGAAGGGAGAGTGAGTTCTATGTTTTTTGTTGACTACTTTCATCCTAGAGTTAACTTTATATATTGAGAAAGATCCCCCTAATTTTGGCTAGGATAAATTATTTACTTAATCTGGGGTCTATCCATTTATCTTTATCTTTAAGGGTCTTTACTCTAGTCAATTTTATGAAGTGGAACCATTTTTCCACCTTTATACCTTGAACTAGATCAACTTTCTATAACTTGCCATAATTTGTTATCACTATCCCTTTTTCCGATGTCAACTAGTATTTTTTACTGATTTAAGTTTTGTACAGTAATATATTTTTTAAAATTAATTTTACAATATCTTGTTAAATAAAAATTAACTATGTACCCAATGATCATAAATTGATATTTGCAGGAGTTGTTAAAATTAACAGTGATGGTAGTGCTTTAGGAAACCCAGGGAAAATTGGTGCAGGGGTAATTATCAGGGATCACCATGGTATCTTTCTTCATGCAATTTCTTCCCCCCCTGGGAGAAGGCACCACCAACCAAGCTGAAACCCAAGCTGCTCTCATTGGTATCACTTGGTGCATGGACAATGGTTATACCAGGATTCACTTGGAAGCAGACTCCGACCTTCTGATTCAATGGATCACTAAAATCTCAACTCCACCATGGAACATCCGTATGCATATCCAGAAGCTTAGAGATCTGTGCAACATGTGTGATTCCATTTCCTACTCCCATGTTTATAGAGAAGCCAACTACCCTGCAGACTCTCTATCCAAACTGAGCCATTCCCTATCCTCCACAACTCACTACCATAACCTGCAGGACCTCCCACCCCAAATTAGAGGCCAAATCATACTTGACTTCAGTGGCACCCCTGCCTTCAGGCACAAGCAGACCAGTACTGTCCATCTCCCTCCTCTTATGTCCAATATGTACTCCAATGGTTATGGCTAAATTCAAAGGCATATTTTGGGACCAAATAATTCCCCTAATCCAAATGATCTCCAACCTCTTCCCTAGCCAGATTCACCCTCCCAATGGTCTACCTAATGCTATGTCTAAGTTCCAGTGTGTGGTATCAGCACTTTATGTGCTCTTTCTACTGGACTTTCCACAGAAAAATAGGGAAGGCCAAAGAGAGTTCATGCACCAAATAGCCTCCCCACACACTCCCCAGCAAAAAACAATTTTTCTAACCATGTTTGAATTCTTGCAGGTTCAGCATCTTCATAAGTTGCTCAGCCCCTTTGTTTGGTTTCAGGATGTGATGTCAGTCCTTGGGTTTCTACTCTTGAAAATTAAACAAGGAGCTGTGGTAGCCAATGGGGAGGAAGAAAACAGTCACAAAATATGGGCAGAAATGCCAACTTTTCAACTGACCCTGTGTTATTTTGCTGCAGGTACACCATCCTGTGATGGTTTTCTGATGCAATGCAGGGCCAAGGTCCTATGTACCTTTGTCCTAGCCCTCAAAACACCCCATCAACACAGAAACTCATCCCCCTGCATCTGCATCTTCCTCTGCCCACCATTTATACTCTCATTTACTTCCTGTTGCAGCAGAAAATGCAGAATCTGCAGAATGATTATGCAGAAACTGCAGAACAGTTCTTTCCAACCCACAAACATTCACCCAACTCCCAGACCCCTACAATGTACAATCTGCAGGTTTTCATACCTCTGCAGTGATGCTTTCTCACCCTTTGCAATCTTCACCTTCCACAGAAATATCAGACCAACTGAGTGCAGTCTCCACAAGAACATGCACTCAGTTTTTTCCTCACAAACAAGGGGTCATAATTCCCCCCTGTCCCCAGACTCAGGTCCAGCATCCACAAGAACCTGGATTGTGAGCTCCCCTTTGCTAACAGCTTTGCTAATTTTGCAGGTACTGGGAGCAGACTTGACCAACTGATGCATTCCCAGTCAGTGGTATTAGCATCCCAAATGCTCATTCTGCTGGGAATGTATCGGTTGAATCAAGTCTATCCAACCATCTCCACATATAATCTTTGGATAACCTATTCATGGACACAATCCAAAGCATCCACAATCTCCAGGAGGCATTCAAATTGCAATGCAACCTCTCTGAAGCTGCAATACATTCAGCAGCATCACACACAACAGCAGCAACAGTCGGACAATCATGCAGCATCTCCTCTTTCAACAGCCCAGCCTAGTCCTCTCACAGCAAACTTCAAGTCAAAATGGACAAAGGAAGCAGGAAGTGAACCACTCCATTGCTCACTCTCATCTGTCACATCCACCAAGTAGAAGCAGCCATGTGTATTCTCCTTTGTGCTTGTTATCTTCCTACTTGCTTTCTTTGTCTTCAATGCCAAAGCAATATGGAATATAACCATCACCTTGGGCCTTTTTTGTTCATCAGCCCTTCTAGGAATTTTCTACATACCTTACAGATGTAGAACTTGTTGTAGTATATGGAAGATCATCTTCCAACTCATTTACAAAGTAGTTTTAGGATCTTTTGTGCAGTATTGTATAGTTGACCTAGGCTTACTTTACTTGTATTTTGTACATCCAATTACCTATCACTTTTGGATAGATAATTGGTACATCATCATAGGTCTAACTCACCATAGTTTTCAGGTGATACTTGGTTACCACATGTGGTTTACCAAATGCATCTTCATCTTATATGTGGAGGTAAGGTTCAGGTCCCCCTCCACTATGTTGTACTTCCTTTCATATGTATGAAAATCAACCCTAGGCACAACGCCTAGTGGACTCAGTTAAAAAAAAAAAAGAATAAGAAACTCTTACTGCGGATTAAACTATACTAATCGTTCTCGATGATTACAAGTTTACAACTTTAAGTTATTTATTTTACGTGTGTTCAAAGTTCAAAAGATTATGTAATAAAAGTGCAGATACATACAATACACAATGTAATACCCTCAAATTAGCTAAGATATATATAATTTATCCTTTTGAAAACATATATGTAGATTGTAGATTAACTAATACACATATTCTATAAGCAATCCATATCTAAACTTTTATAATTTTATATTTAACAAGTTACTATATTAGTTTGTCTTCTCACAAATACGATTAAAAACTTTCCAGACAAGAAAAATTCCAATTAGTATAACTTATTTATTGGCTCACTACTTTTAGTCAAAGCTAAGCACCCAATAATCTTTTACCATATTGGCGGTCTTCAATCCCATCCTTATCCACTTGCTTAATTAGCGATAATGGCTATTTCCTCTGGCTACGCAAGCAGTTAGTCATAACTAGATCAGGACCTTAAAGTCTATACTAGTTCAGAATCATGCATGAACATTGTAGACGATTGAATTTTATTGAGTTTAAGTTCATTAAATTATTTGGACCTTATTTTAAATTTAAAGACGTGTTAGCCCAAATAAGGATTATGGGCTAGTATAATTGAATTTATTATTTAAACCTCATATACATATATCGATTTAATTAAGAGCCCAAGTTAATTAGGCTAGCCCATCTTGTCGGACTTCAAATGATAAGCCCAAGGTCCATGCCATGTGTCAAATGACATGGCACGCCAAGTCAAATCAAGGACCACTAAAATCATGCCACGCGCATAAGTGATGTAGCATGCCAAGTCAAATGTAAGGACCAATCAAATGTCGCCAAATATTCAAATGACATGGTTCAACCAATTATATGCAAGCTTATCACATAGCTTTAATGATAGGTTTGATGACTCAAGTTGGCTAATCAAATATATGTGTTTATCACAAGTTCTCTCCCCTACGACTATAAATAGGGGTCTCCGTAAGGACAAAAGAACAACAAGAAAAATACATAGAGAAGCTCTCATTTCCAGTTGTAATTCGCAAGTCTTCCACATAGCAAGAAGTCGTCGTCTCCAAGGGGTGAGCCGCAAGTTTTCATCCTCCACATTTGTGATCAAAGTCTAGCTCCGCATTCGTGGTCAAATCCCAACAACAAGTGGTCCATCAATTCAAGAACAAGCGAAGCTCTCAAATTGACGATCGTGAGGAGAAGAATCAGAGGATTACATCTTTTAACTTAAGATTGTTCAAAGATCGTAACTCGCGTAAATTATTAAAATACAAATACTTTTATTTGTTGCTATATTTCTTGTCTTGATTATTATCTTTAGGAACGAAATTTTAGTTGTTACGAATTTTGGCACGCCCAGTGGGACTATCTTTGCCTCTCATCTCTTCTCTCCAACAATCAAAATCCAAGAACACTAAGATGGCTCCTAAGAAGGTCAACTCAAAGTTCGCTTCCACAAAGGCTACCGAATCCAAATTTTCCGCTGCTGTGGAAAACGTCCTAGATGTCACTAAGGGAAGCGTGGGACCAATTACAAGGAACCAAGCCAAATTGTTGGGACAACAAATATCTCAAGTGCAGTCCGAATCTTCTGTTGTCTTCGTTTCGTCATATCCAAAAGGCATGAGATCCTCCGCAAGCACGACCGCAGAAGGATATAACATTGCCGAAAGGATCGAGAAGGTTCTTGCCCAACTTAGCTAGTTTAAATCCAAGAAATCCCCCGGCCGATTGATGTGATACCTTGAGTACTGGATCTACTCCGCGTAACATGTCCAAATATCATGTTCGTGAGAATCCATGTTATTCTCCATCGTCTACTATGGTGATTCATGCAATGATGACTAATGCTTCGTTCGTAGAGGACCAACTCGCAAACTTGACAAAAGCAATCGAAGGCTTAACCAAATGTATGAAGGGTCAAAAAGCTCGAGTTGACAAGTTGACAGATAATGTAGACGACCTAATGGAAAGAGATTCGAGTCATGCACCTGGAAAGCGTCAAGAAGCACAAGAGAGAATTGATTTTCCCGCACTACAAGTGGCGTCTCCTAAGGAAATCCTAGTCTCTTCCGAAGGGATGATCCCAATTGATCAACTGAAGGAGTTCATCATGGAGATTCTCAAGGATAAGTACGAGGTGGCTACCAAATCCTCTCTCACATATGCAAAACAATACTTGCGAGGATTGATAGCTTGAAGATGCCTGCTGGTTATCAACCCCGAAAATT